GACCACACAACATATTTTTATTATTATTACACTACATGTTTCGACCTCAAGAGGTCATCCTCAGGTGTACGAACACAGCTGTATAATTACACGCAATCACATTCGTCTTCTCACTTATTCGATCCTGTATCTTATTCAGGCTCACGCTCAATAATATATCAAGCTCTCTCATAAAACACAAGTTAAAATTGTTCTAAATGTCAAAAGTTAAAATTTAAATTTAAAATTTTTAAAAAATTTAAAGTTTGTGAATCGAATTTCAGTTAAGGTCACTAGTTATGCTTTCACTTTCACTTGTACTCAGTCACTTCCTACTTACGTTCATCACTGCGTCAAGTTCACTTTAACTAGTTTAATTATATTATTGATTAAACGTTCATGAATTAAATTTCAATTTTATTATAGGTTGCACTTTTTCACTTTTGGGGGTCTTGCTGTTCTACTGCTTCTTCTGAAGTTGTGGATCTGTTACGGTCCATGTCGTGATGGCTACTAAATTTTAAATTTAAATTATAACTTTTGGTTAGAACAGTTTTAACTTGTGTTTTATGAGAGTGCTTGATATATTATTGAGCGTGAGCCTGAATAAGATACAGGATCAAATAAGTGAGAAGACGAATGTGATTGCGTGTCATTATACAGCTGTGTTCGTACACCTGAGGATGACCTCTTGAGGTCGAAACATGTAGTGTAATAATAATTAAAATTGACTCTAAGTATGGTTCATTTTGCAGATAGGTTGCATGAATTAGGAAGAAATATGCCTCAAAATTATTATTATCGCATTTTACTTTTATTAAAATATTTTGTATTAATAATTTCAATCTCTACGACTTTAATGTGCTGTAGCATGCCCATTTCTGGTTATTGGCTGTATGAGTAAGTTGTGATGGAAAACGGAATGTTACATATTCTTATTATTTCACAAAATAACAGATTGAACTATATATGGATCATACCCTTTTTTCTGGCTGAAACTTCAGGATGAAAGGATTTTACATGTTACTTGGAAACATGGCCACATTCTCTAAGATCCTAAAATACAGTGACTTTAATGTTTTCTCTATTTATAATTTCAGATACGTGTCTCATGAATTTCATGGAAAGGGACCTGGCAAAAATAAAGTGGAGAAACAAAGGAAGAAAACTGAACAGGAGGGAGTGAGTATCAGTCCAGATGTGGTCATGAGCTCTTATTTCTAATACAAGCCGGAAGGTCATGGGTTCAAGTCCTGATGAAGTCACTGGATTTTTTTCAATTGACCTAATCCTTCCAGCCGCACTATGGCCCTGGTGTTGACTCAGCCTCTAATAGAAATGAGTACCAGGAATATTCTTGGGAGTAAAGGGCGGCCGGTGCGTAAGGCTGACAACCTTGCAGCCATCTGTGAGCTGATTGTCTAGAAAATGTGGGAACCTCAACATCTCACAACCCTATGGGCCTCCATGGCCTGTTACAGGGATACCTTTACTTTACTTTACTTTACTTTACTTTAGTATATTGTAGCACCCTACTGCACTTCATTTAGTACCAAATTGTTTCACAGCCTCACGTGCAGCATGTCCTTCTGTAAAACTTCCTAAAAGTTATTCACTGCATGTTTCGACCTATAAGGTCATTATGAGGGGTTTTAAAATTATAAATGAGGAAACTGCTCTGCTTCCATGTTGTGGTTTTTGGTCATCACTATGCCATCCCTTCTATGCGCATGTATATATGAAGTTGCAGGTTGTTCTGCCTGTTGTGTTATGCTGCGTGCCCCTCTTGCGCTGCATAACATGGCAGGCAGATCAACCAGCCACTTTGTATATACATGCGCATAGAAGGGACCACATAGTGATGACCAACAACCACAATATGGAAGCACAGCAGTTTCCTCATTTATAATTTATAATTTTAAAACACCTGATGATGACCTTATAGGTCGAAACATGTATTGAATAACTTCTAGAAAGTTCTATAGAAGGATGTGCTGCACATGAGACTGAAACCATCTGATGCTATTTCTAAATGGTTCTCCATAAGGAAGCAAATTTTAGTTATTGTTACATGTCCACGAATCCACATAGCAGATAGATATCCATCCACACTTTTTGTGCATTCATTTTCTGCTGACTAAAAACATATACAGTAGCTTCAGTCCTGGGACAGAAGCGAATACTGCAACTTTGTGGCAAGTCAGATGGAACCTCCTCATAGAACTCACAGCATATTTGTTCCAATTGTCATTAAGCTAGTACACATAGACACAGACCATGGGTTGGAAATTGGGAGAAATTGATGACTTCAAGCAGCAGACAAACTTAAAATTTGGCCAGCTGTTAGGATAATCAGTGACAGGAGCTGCAGATATTACAGAATGTTTAAGGGCAAATAGACTGTGCACCATCTGAAGGAGATAATTTTTTTTTCCCCCCAGTTGATGAAACAGATGAGCTCAACAGACACCCACTTGGAACGCTTAGCCTCTTGCAGCAGAAGCAGAAAGAAATGCAGTCTCCATTCGTGGTCCTTAGTGGCGGTAAACAAACATGAGTATGCTTTTTGTCTTCATTCACTGAAAAGAACGAGTTCTAATTAAAACAAATTGTATTCATTAACTGACAGACTTAGACCTGAGAACACAGATTACTAGATGAAACAAGTGAACGCAATTCAAAATTTGTCTAATCTTGACATTGCAAATAACAGTAATTCATAACTTTAACTTAAAGGCTGAGTACATGGGAAGCCATATAGTAATGTCGATAATGTCATGGTGATTATACTGCTGCAAAGTAAATATTTGTTTTTCTCTGAGCATGCCACTTGTCTTGTTATATTTGTAGACTGTACACTATAAAGTGTAATTTTAATGATGGATTGATTAATAAGACTTTCCTCCTTGGTACTGTGAAGCTTTACTAAAATTTTCTGTTTTTGATGCAGAATATGAAATTTCATTTTCAAGAAGAAAACCACCAGCTGTGAGATTTTTGTGAGATCTTCAATTTAACATGAGCATTACTACATTTTCTTTATTTCTTTCTTTTTCAGGGCAACCATCTGAAAAACAAAACTGCAGATTCTTCATGAAATATTATGGCACAAACTCTGAACTTTGCCGTGGACTTATGTTTTTATTGATTCTTACTGTCTGGAATATCATCTCTTTTTTAAATAAGACACAGCTTGCAGCTGTCGACAGTGCCTATGTGTACTGGAAGGAAGGCCACAGAGTTCATGTCACATTCAAATGAGCACAGTGGTTCTCCTGCTTCCTTAGGTAACCTGTTGGCACCTGTAAGCTGAAAAGTACAATTTCTGGTGATTAGTCGCTTGCTTATAGGACTTGAGCCAGATGAACAGCCTCTAAGCTAAATCAGACATGAAGTAATTATGTTTGGCCTTTCTTGATTGCAATAGCCAAATTGTATCCTTCCAAGGGAAGAAAGAAACCCTTGTTCAGTTGTAGGCCAGTATGAACAGCTGTAAAATTACACAAGCAACAGAATCAGAAGATGTACAGTCTACTGCACATCATTGTAAAGCCCCACTTACATATCACTGAAACATTTGTAATGTGTTATAAAATTAACTTGGTTCATCTTGGTCCGTCACGCTAGTAATTGTATATAAGGTTTTTAACCACTGTCCTGTGTGATTGATAAAAGTTGTTTTTAATTTTTCATCCTCTTCATGTTTTGGTCAAAAGACCATCTTCAGAAAGATATTATCAACACATATGGAAACTACTGTTACATGTCATACATATATATGTTATATCTTTTAACTAATATTAAGATGTACATTTATTTGTTAAAACATCTAAATATTATTACAATTAGGAAGAACGCAGTCTTCTGGGATGTGGCACCGTGTAGCTGTGGTGTTAACCGATGTTTTGGAGGAACACATCACCTCCATCTTCAGGGTAGGAGGAAAAATAAGGAAATCTGCAAGCAAAGAGACAGTGAGAACAGGTGCAAGCAGACTAATGTCAGAAATAAACTCAGCTATATGAGAGCAGGAAAGGAAGGGACAGCTCTACATGGGAAATCAGTGGAGCGGTAGAGGGGAAGGGTCTGGGACAGGAGCAGGGTTAGAGCAGGTATAAGATATTGTGTCAGGGGAGAAAGGCAAGGTTAATGGGAGGGTATTAACCCTTAAGCTGGGGGGTTGCTATGCGAATTGGTCATGGACTGTGTGGCCTTGTGGATCTGGCATCATGTCCTGGGGGTGGGGGGTTAGGGAACAGATGAGAGGCTTCCATGACCTGCTGAGACAAAACCTTGCTCCTGCTCCCCAGACCCTTCCCCTCTCCCTCTCCACTGATTTCCCATGTAGACCTGTCCCTTCCAACATTAGTCTGCTTGCACCTTCTCTCACTGTCTCTTCGCTTGCAGATTTTCTTATTCTTCCTCCTATCCTGAAGATGGAGGTGATGTGTCCCTCCAAAATGTTGGTTAACACCACATCTACATGGTGCCACATCCCAGAAGACTGCTTTCTTCATAGTCACCACCGTGGAACCATCAAATCGTACTTATTACAATTAGTCTGTTTAGAAAATAATGTTCAGTATTTGTTTTAAACTAGAACCAATTTGGTTCCTTGTCCTTGCACTTTTATAATAATTTTAGATGTTTTAACAAATCAATATACATCTTAATATTAGTTAAATGATACAACATATATATCTATGACATGTAACAGTAGTTTCCTTAAGTGTTGATAATATCCTTCTGAAGATGGTCATTTTGACTGAAACATATAAAGGATGAACAATTAAAAACAACTTTTATCAATCACACTGGACGGTGGTTGCAAATCTTATATGCAGTTATAAAAGTCCTGTGTTCAATCCACATGCAGATGATCAAGAGTCTTCTGTAGGTATATGAAAACTCGAAAGACACGTAGACTCGGCCAGTAATATCAGGTCATGAAACTGTAAGACTGATCTTAAGGCATCTTCTTGGAGGTGGTGATGATTTGAATCCAAAATGAATATATAAGTCAATGCTGAACATTATCTGAAGTCTGAATTGTAATCCTGATGTGCTACTAATCTTCACATAAGAAGGTACACAGACGGACTACAGGTGTTCGTAAACTTACATTTTTCTTGATATCAGTAATGTATAACTGTAAGTTGACAACCTCAGTCACATATATTCCAGCCACGTAATTATTTAAGACAGTTTGAATATGTTTTAGTCTTTGTTAATAGAAATTAACTTGAAATCACATTATTACAGAAGTTGTTACTTTTGTGTATTTCTTCATGAAACAGGGATTATAATTTAAAACATGTACACCTACTCCATTAGGTGCATGAAGAATATGTTGTTCAGTTAGTGTGGTTACTTGCAAGGTTGGAATTATGTGTGGAGTTGAGTTCAGTTTGTAACATTCTCAGAGCAGGCTGCTTATGGTAATTGATGGTCATTACTATCTATCCTTACCATAGGTAATTAATTTTTCAGTAAAAGGTTTTCAAACAAAAGGCATGACACACCTATCAAAAGAAACTGAAGATTTTGTTTCTTTATTGGTCAGTATCCTGTTGAGAAAGATACAATAAAATAATTTTAGATTTGAGGCTTTCACGGCGATGACTATGTTTCGAATGTGTCGTTGAGTAGCCTCCCCATAGAGGAACACTATGTAAGATTTGAGGCTTTCACGGCGGTGACTATGAAGACTGCTTTCTTCAAAATAGTTTCACTTGGTGTAGTATTTAAATGTATATCATCTATAGGAAAAATGATATAAAAATGCTTAAATTTCATGATATGTTTGTATGCACTCAAAGTTTCACTGTAAACTTGAAGTGGCCATGTGCGGTTGGAGCCCAGGCAGGGCCACTGAAGCGTCAGGCTGACAGCTTTAAATGGTTGCAATGGTAGACTTGCCATTTCTTATTAATTTGTACAGATTTCCTAACAGACTCATTACTGTGATGAAGACTTGCTTAAATAATGCTCTGAGAATTGATTTCATTATGTAATGTAATTCATCTGCACTGATCACGGTTCAATTTAATCAGTACAGCACAATTACTGTATGGTTGTAGTGTGTCAATATTTCTTGTTCATAAATGGAAGTACAGTCATCTACAAGCACCAGTGTTACATGCGAGATTTTACATATTCATGGCAGTGATCATGAGGAAGTTGGAAGTGACGCTGTATAGGTGGGTAGGAGTCTGCCAACATTTTGGAGGAACGTACTGCCACCTTTGTAAGGGTAGACTTCTACTACATACATTCTATCACATCCTAACTTTTCCACAATAATATTGAGGACAAGTCTTCTGAAATGTAATGCTCTGTAATTAGTTTTAACGAACACCACAGACAGGTATACTTCATCTTCAGGATGGAAAATTGAAGCTGAAGGCATTGTGTACCTCTGAAATGTAATTAAACTTCTACCGACCTACACAGTATCATATCCCGTATCATCAGCCAAATGAAACTGCTGTTTGTGGGTGACCTGATTTCATATTTTGACTTCAAACATCTGTACCTACGTAATCTAAATATCTGATATCTGGAGTCATCCTAAAGATGGAGGCACACATTCCACCAAAACGTTAGTATCCACCTATCAGACTGCAGCATGGTGTGTTTCACCAGAACCCTGGTATCTGCCTGCCAGACTACAACACAGTGTTATAGCACACAACGCCCCCACCAAGGAACTTGATGATTATACAGCTTTCCAGTTTTGTCAGGAAAGTTACATCAAGGACTTGTAGCTGAGATGGGAGAACACAAATACTGCATCCGTGCACCCTCTTATGTTATTATATACAATTCTTTATTGGAGACCATTGTAACACAACAACATAACGGTCAAGGTTAAAGTTATCTAGCTACATTAAAGCACATGATTACTAATTGTGTCTGTAATTATGTTTTGCCTGATGATGGCTTTAAAATGCCGAAACATATAGCTGGGTAATTTTAACCTTGACCGTTATGTTATTGTGTTACAATGGACTCCAATAAAGAATTGAACACAAATATGTACAATATTTTTGTTGGAAGATGCTGGAAAGCATCCACTTGGGAAAGCAAAAGTGGTGGAAGAAAGATATCAAACCAGATCTCGACAAAACTGGGTATACGACTGTGGATCATGATGTGTCTACTGGTGGGCTTTGGTATTAGCAGCATTCATTCTGGAAGGGTATGCTGAAAAGTAATGCCTCCATAAGACAGTGGTGAAAATGTGGTTCTGTCCTGCCACACATACAGAAGTACAGGTACTCCTTGGTATATGCAAGTTGGAAACATGTTTCATTTTAATGCTGTCAATTAATTTAGACCTGTAACGCTTGCTTTAGTATGAACTGCTTGCTGGCCCATCAAGAGAGGTCAGAAGAAGGGGGAATTAGGCTGCTGTGTGTGAATGAAATTGCTGTTATGGAAAAGAAATCGGGAGCCATTACTTTCAGCATGCCCTCGTACAAGCTCTGTCACCAGGAGAAGACATACACTTCCCAATTAAATATCCCACATTGTGAAATTGGAAATTTCATAATGTTAATTGAAATCCATATTTAAATATTTGTTGCTTAACCTCCAGTGGTGTCCTGTGTACAGAGCACACTTGCCAATGTATCACATCACTACGTGCAACACAGAATACCTATGGCAGCCATAACTCTGTCTTTAACAGTGATATTATATCAAAAGTGCCAGTTTTTTATAGCAGTTCAGAAAAAGAAAATGCTATAAGCTGTCTATTCATGTATGGGTAGTCACATTTTGAAATTTCTGTGGCATGTAACAAATACTGTGTACATCTGAAATAAAATTACCCTACTTTACCTTTTATCTACAGTGTAAACCTCACGTTAAACACAAGATATGAAGCTTCCATGGCAGCTGCAGTGAATGAAATCTGTTCTGGCTTTCAGCCATGTCAATCTCCCTATCATCAGACATGGCTGATAGCCCAAGAATATTTTATCAGCTTGTTTCACAACTTTCCTTCTTTAAAAGAGGGTTATGAGATCTCATTGCTGTCTGTGTATGCTCCCTTCCCTGAACCTATTCATCCATGACTGATGTATCATTAAAATATTCCTACAGGTAAGTCAGTTACAAATATGAGTAGAAAGGAAACGTGACATAGGAACGAGTATTTCGCAATAATGCTGCTGCTGGTGCTGCTAACAAGGATGACGGCAGTTTTGTATGGGTCATGAGTAAAGTCTTCAAGATGCAGCATTTTGCCGCCCAGAGTATTCCAGCCCCATCAATAGATTTTTTCTTTCATTTTTCACCACACTAAAGAAGCTAAGGACGAGGCTGAGCAAAATTTCTGAAATCAGGAATTAAATTAAAAAAAAAACGGTACTTTACGTTTTAATGGTTTTCGGTTAGCAGGAAAACCCGATACTTTTGATGTCCTTCGGTTATCAGGAAAACCTGGTACCTTGAACGACCTTTAGGAGCACAGTATTTATCGCAAATGAGGAATTAAATTTAAA